TAGCCAGTGGAGACCAGGCCATAGTGCCAACACCTGTAACACGGAGAACACCTGTAACATACTGACGACACCTGTAACACACTGAGGACACCTGTAACACAATGAGGACACCTGTAACACAATGAGAACAACTGTAATACACTGAGGACACCTGTAAAACACTGAGGACACCTGTAACACACTGAGGACACCTGTAACACACTGAGGACACCTGTAACACACTGAGGACACCTGTAACACACTGAGAACACCTGTAATGCACTGAGAACACCTGTAACACACTGAGGACACCTGTAACACACTGAGGACACCTGTAACACACTGAGGACACCTGTAACACACTGAGGACACCTGTAACACACTGAGGACACCTGTAACACACTGAGAACACCTGTAATGCACTGAGAACACCTGTAACATACTAAGAACACCTGTAAGACACTGAGAACACCTGTAATACATTGAGAACACCTACAACACACTGAGGACACCTGTAACACAATCAGAACACCTGTAGTACATCGATAACATCTGTAACACACTGAGAACACCTGTAATACACTGAGAACACCTGCAACACACTGAGAACACGTGTAACACATTAAGAACACCTGTAACATACTGAGAACAATTGTAACACACTGAGGACACCTGTAATACATTGAAAACACCTGTAACACACTGAGAACACTTGTAATACATAGAGAACACCTGTAGCACACTTAGAACACCTGTAATACACAGAGAACACCTGTAGCACACTGAGAACACCTGTAACACACTGATAACACCTGTAACACATTGAGAACACCTATAGCATACTGAGAACACCTGTAACACCCTAAGAACACCTGTAACACTCTGAGAACACCTGTAAGACACTGAGAACACCTGCGACACACTGACAACACATGTAACACATTGAAAAAACCTATAACAAGTCAGAACACCTGTACCGCACTGAGAACACCTTAACACACTGAAAACACATGTAACACACTGAGAACACCTGTAGCACACTGAGAACACCGGTAATACATTGAGAACACCTGTTACACACTGATAACACCTGTAACACACTGAGAGCATCTGTAGCGCACTGAGAGCACCTGTAACACTCCGAGAACACATGTAATACATTGAGAACACCTGTTACACACTGATAACACCTGTAACATACTGAGAACATCTGTAACACACTGAGAACGCCTGAAACACACTGAGAACACCTGTAACACTCCGAGAACACCTGTAATACATTGAGAACACCTGTAATACATTGAGAACACCTGTTACACACTTATAACATCTGTAACACACTGAGAACACATGTAACACACTGAGAACGCCTGTAACACACTGAGAACGCCTGTAACACTCTGAGAACACCGGTAATACATTGAGAACACCTGTTACACACTGAGAACACCTGTAACACACTGAGAACATGAATAAAGAAAGGAATAAGAAAAGCAAAAAGGGATTATGAGGCTAAGGTCGCAAGGGATTCAAAGACTAAACCAAAAGGGTTCTTTCAGGTATACAGAAGTAAGATTAAGGACAAGATTGGCCCACTTAAGAGTAACTCTGGTCAGATCACTGACAGTGATAAGGATATGTGTGAAATTTTCGACAATTACTTCCTCTCAGTTTTTACCCAGGAAGATACAAGCAAAATTCCAGAAATAATAGATTATGTAGAACAGGATGATAATAAACTATGCACGATTGTGGTAACTAGTGACATGGTCCTCAGACAAATAGAGAAATTAAAACCTAACAAATTCCCAGGTCCTGATGAACTGTTTGCAAGGGTGTTAATATTTTCAATGTGGCTAATCTTTTCAATATATCTCTACAAACTGGCATAGTGTCAGAGAAGTGGAAAATGGAAAATGTAATACCTATTTACAAGGCAGGTGACAGGTCCTTAGCTTCGAACTATAGACCAGTAAGCCTTACCTCCATAGTGGGAAAATTTATGGTATCAATAATTGCCGAGGCAATTCGTAGCCATCTGATAGAAATAAACTGATTAATGAATCTCAACACGGTTTTACAAAGGGGCGTTCCTGTCTTACGAATTTACTAACTTTTTTCACTAAGGTGTTTGAGGAGGTAGATCATGGTAATGAATATGATATTGTGTATATAGATTTCAGTAAGGCTTTCGATAGAGTTCCACACCAGAGGCTATTGAGGAAACTAAGGCACACGCAATAGGAGGAGAAATTTTTTCCTGGGTAGAGGCATGGCTGACAAATAGGCAGCAGAGAGTTTGCATAAATGGGGAGAAATCAGAGTGGGGAAGCGTCACGAGCGGTGTTCCTCAGGGATCAGTGTTGGGCCCCCTGTTGTTCACTTTGTGTAGTAGTGTTGTAGTCACTATGTCTGTTACTTTGTGTATTAGTGTTGTAGTCACTGAGTCTGCTACTTTGTGTAGTAGTGTTGTAGTCACTGAGTCTGCTACTTTGTGTAGTAGTGTTGTAGTCACTGTGTCTGCTACATTGTGTAGTAGTGTTGTAGTCACTGTGTCTGCTACTTTGTGAAGTAGTGTTGTAGTCACTGTGTCTGCTACTTTGTTTAGTAGTGTTGTAGATAATCTCTCTGCTACTTTGTATAGTAGTGTTGTAGTCACTGTGTCCGCTACTTTTGTAGTAGCTTTTGTGTACAGTTTTTTGAAGTTTGCAATGACCTGCTGGTCCATGGGCTGCAGGAGAGGAGTGGTATTAGGAGGCAAAAACTTCACCTTAATGAAGCTCATGTCCCCAGAAAGTCGCTCTGCCAAGTCTGAAGGATGACCAGGAGCATCGTCTAACATAGATGAGGGAATAAATAGCGACACAAGCAAGTTTGCTGATGACATCAAAATAGACCGTCCAGTTTATTCTAACGAGGATATTAGAGCACTCCAGGATGATTTGAATAGACTGATGCAATGGTCGGAGAAGTGGCAGATGCAGTTTAATATAGACAAATTAAAAGTTCTACGTGTTGGACAGGAAAATAACCATGCCACATATAACCTAAATAATGTGGATCTTAATATTAATGATTGCGAAAAAGATTTAGAAGTTCTGGTTAGCAGCAATCTGAAATCAAATCGACAGTGCATAAGTGTTCGTAATAAAGCTAACAGAATCCTTGGCTTCATATAAAGAAGTATACTTGTGCAACATCTGGGTATCTTCATTGTAGACGTTTCGCCATCCAGTGGCTTTATCAGTACAGATTCTAGGGCAATACGAAGAGAGTAGAACTATGTACTAAGGATAAGGTAATCAGTCCCTCAACCTTAGAGTTAGTGTGAAGAGCACCGTAGTCATGAAGACTCTGGAGCAGAGGCAGGAAAACTGGCGCATATATACCAACGTATATATGATTCATATTGTCCTAGAATCTATATTGACAAAGACACTGGATGGCAAAACGTGTACAAAAATGATACCCAGATGTTGCACATTTGCGTCAGTTTTCGTCTTGTCGATATTGTATACCAATCATGTACAAGAAGTATATATAACAGAAGTCCTCAGGTCGTCCTTCAACTCCTTATATCTTAGTTGCATTTGTGTCCTTTTACTTAACATTATTAAGCTGGTAGGTGCCAGGGTTATGAACATTCCCGAGCTTTAGAACGTTGCATTTATCTACACTGAAACTGCATCTGCCACTTTTCTAACCACGAATTAAGTTTGTCTAAATCCTCCTGAAGTTCCGTGACATCTACGTCTGAATCAATTATCCTACCTATCTTCGTATCATCAACGAATATGCTTATATCACTAGTAATTCCCTCGTCAAGGTCATTTATATATATATTATAAAGAACAACGGGCCTTAAGCCGATCCCTGCGGAACGCCACTTGTTACAGACCCTCACTCAGATTTAATCCCATATTGGTGAGCCATGACTCGGTCCATAACAGCACTTTTCCCACAGTGCCATGAGCTGCCACTTTCTTTAACAGTCTCTGATGTGGCACTCTATCAAAAGCCTTACTAAAATCCAAATAAACGAATTCTGTATCGTGATCAACAGCCTCAAAAGTTTTACTGAAGAAAGTTAGTAAATTAGTCAGGTAGGAACGGCCCCTCGTGAATTCATGCTGAGTATCATTAATCAAATTATGCTTATCCAGATGGCTTCTTACGTTATCAGATATAAGTGACTCTAGTAATTTGCCTACAATTGAGGTCAGGCTTATCGGGAGGTAATTTGACGGTAACGACTTGTCCCCTGCTTTAAAAATAAAAATTACATTAGCCATCTTCCACATATCAGACACTACACCTGTTTAACAGAGATGTATTAAAAATATTGGTTAATGGTTCACAAAGTTCCATTGAAAAAAACCTCATCAGGACCCGGTGATTTATTTTGTTTCAGTCGGTCTCTTTGTTTCACAACCATTTCACTAGTGACTCTGATGTTACATAATTTATCTTCTTCAGGTCCACTATAAAAATTAATTACTGGGATATTGTTAGTATCTTCCTGTGTAAAAACCGAGAGAAAAATAATTATTTAAAACGAGCACATTTTTTTTTCCTTTTCAGTAAGATGCCCATATTTTTTTTTTAAAGGGGGCCTACTTATCTCTGACTTTTTTTCTATTAACCCGGAAAAAAATTTTTGGGTTAGTTTTAGAATCTCTAAAAACTTTTAAATTTCGTAGTCTCGTTTTTGCTTTTTTTATCCCCTTTTTAAGTCCCTCTTATGTCAATAACTAAATTTATAAATGACCCCACCTCTTTTTGATACTCTAAAAACTCCTTCTTCTGGCCTAAAGGATATTTAGCCTATTATTTATCCATTTGGGTCATTTCTATTCGATCAATTTCTTTATTTGGGATAAATTTCTTTGGGCAGCTGTAAGTTTAAAAAAGCTGACATATTGTAACTCTCTTCGTTTCTCCCCTCCACGATTTTCAAGTGTTCTCTAAGCCCATTGTAACGCTAAACGAAAATTGGGACCATTACTTTTTTTCCCCTACTT